AGAGAGAGAGAGAGAGAGAGAGAGAGAGAGAGAGAATTTAGAGAGATAAATATAGAGATATATTTTATTTTCTTTTTCTTTTAATAGTGTCCCGTATGTCTAATTATCTAATCTGGCAACCCTAGTCTAGGTGAAAGAAGTGATAAAATCATTTTTTTCTGCAGACGTATACAAACAAAAAACAATACAAAACAAACAAAAAAAAAAAAAAAAAAAAAACAAACAAACAAACAAAAATTACTCTGGGAAGGAATTTTTGCTCCCAGCACCTGCCGATAAATAAGACTGTTGTATTTCGTGTTGGCTGAAATAGATCTGTACCCAGATGAAGTAATTTTGATTTTTGTTGTGTAATTTATATGCTCTATGATAATAAATACATTGAACTCTTTTTGTGGATCAGTTTTAATATTTTATATTATTAGGATTCATCTGGATTATATAAACTGTAGCGGGTTGAACGGCCCTGATTCAACCAGTACTATTTTTATTTTACAAACAGTAATTCAGTTGTGTTTGGAATGCTGAAATTTACTTGTTCTTGGAATTTTGAATGAGGAAAATGTTCTTGTTGGTAAACTGTGAAGTGTATTAAAAAGTTTGTGAGTTTAGAGAACTTTAGTAAGATTTATTGTTACTTGTAAGAGAATTAAACACTTTGTTAATCACAATGTTATGTGTTATGGACCAAGGAAGAACAACACGAACACAAGAGTAGAAATAATGAAGGTATATTACACGAAATAATAATACAAGATGTGGAAGGTGTTAGTATGACTGTCAATCTGGTTTGAAGTGAAGTGAACTACTATCGGCTTGACTTGATTCGGTATCTAGCCCCCTCCCCACGAGGGTTGCATGTGGCACAAGGCCGAGTTTAACGTGGGTTTCCCAAGCCCGTAGGCTCGGCCAAAATATGCCGTAGAAGCCGTATAAACGGGATCGGGTTGCTCAACCTCCCCGAACGAGACTCTGCCCTTAGGCGGAGCATCGTCCGAGTTCCTCTCTGCTCAGAAGCAGAGAGTTCGACCATCAAGTCGAGAAGCTCGGCTCGATTCGTTATCTAGCCCCAAACGAGGGTTTTATGTGGCACAAAGCCGAGATTAACGTGGGTTTCCCGAGCCCGTTGGCTCGGCCAAAAAAAAAAAAATGCCCGTAGAATCCGTATAAACGGGATCGGGTTAGTCAACCTTCCCGAACGAGAGACTGCCCTTCGGCGGAGCCTCGTCCGGGTTCCGCTCTGCTCAGAGGCAGAGAGTTCAAGGGTCGGCTCGATTCGGTATCTCGCCCCCACTTCCACGAGGGTTGCATGTGGCACAGGGCCGAGTTTACGTGGGTTTCCCGAGCCAGTAGGCTAGGCCAAAAAATGACAGTAGAACCAGTATAAATAGGATTTGGTTGGTCAACATCCCCGAACAAGACTCTGCCCTACGGCCTCGTCCAGGTTCCTCTCTGCTCAGAGGCAGAGTGTTCGACCGTCACGCCGAAAAGCTCGGCTTGTTTCGACCCAGTCTCTTGAGAGACATAGTATACATAATGTTAGGAAGAGTTCATTCTGTGGTTATAGGTAAGGACCCATGACATTATATTAAGTGTTTCTGTGGTGGAAAGTTTGGTGTTTACCATTTATTTGATGGTGTTGACGGCCCAAATCAATCCATACAATTTTTTACTCTACGAATATGTTAAGCAAAATGCAAAAAAAACCAAGAGAAAACAACAAGAAACATTTGTGATAAAAGACAAAAAGTAAATATTTGAATAACAAGTAATTTTCAATATATTTTGTAATGAAAATGTAATGTTATTCTTTTTTAGGTGAAATCTTGTTAGTTTAATTTATGTTGAACTCAAGTTTGGTGAAAGATTAATATTTTGTTAATGAGTTCTGATTTGAAAGGGTGTTTTGTTAGAATCTGTTATTGAAGATTCTGTAAGTAAACTGCAAAAGAAAAACTTACATTTAAGAATTTACTGTTCATGTAAGTTGTAAATGTTTGTAAAATTGAATGCAATTTTGTAATCAAAGAAGTTATCTCCCTTTGATTGTTTTGTGTAATACAATGTTCTCGAATGTTGAGAAATAAAGTTGATTTGTTAACAGGAATTTGTTTGACTTCTGCGTAAGGAATTTTGTGAGTTAATGGGAATAAAGTTCACTGGTGAGTTTTGGTGAGTGAGTGTGAATCTCGTTAAGTTCGTATAATGTTCGTATGGACGAAAAACTTAAGATTGTGTGACGTGAAAGTTTAGTTGCAATTCGTTTGATGTCACAATGCTCCCCAGTGAGTGTGAATGAGTTTCTGTTTTTATTTGCTTCGGGTGTCTCACAGAGATTTCGCGCGAACTTGGATTTCAGTCACGAGCTGTAAAATTTAGTTAAGCGTGGATGGATAGTCACGCCTACTTGTATATTTATTAACCAATGAGAGCTTGAAGAAAGTTTTTTTGAAAGTGTATGAAGTTGAAAGTGTTCTGTGATCCAATTTTTGCACAGATTTGACCAAACTATTTTTGGGTATTGGAATAACGTAGAATTTGGGTTCTACATTTCTGTCCTTGTGGTTGAAGGAGTAAATGTTTGTAGATGTTCGTACGTACATGTGTGCGTATCATAACGCTTCATGACGTTTTTGATTAAGAATCAAACGCGATCTCTCCACAATGGGTCTGAGAAGACAAGAAAGAGGAAGGGTGAATATGTTTTCAAATATTTATAATTAATGTGAAGCACGTGATAGGCTCCAGAATACATAACCACAAATTGGGCGATAAATTGACTTTGACCGCAACTGCGTAGGCGCTGTAACATCTTTCACATATATATATATATCAGAAGTCAGAATTTTAGTCGAAGCTTTAGTGATCCACTTTGGTGCTTAGTTTGTTCAAAATTTGTCGTCCAAAGAAACTATTACATAGAAAATGCATTGAAATCTTTTTCGACCAATTGTATTCGCTGAATCGATAATAATAATAATAATGTAATCCAATTAAATGTAAGCAGAATGCTAAAATACCAACTGATTTATTACCTGTACTAGAGAGAGAGAGAGAGAGAGAGGGAGCGAGAGAGAGAGAAAGAGAAAATACGTATTTAGATATAGATATATTTTCTTTTTCTTTTAAGAGTGTCTTGTTTTTCTAATTTTTTTAATCTGGCAAATCTAGGCTGGGTGGAGAAAGTGATTATTAAATCATTTTGTTTTCTGCAGGCGTAAAAAAAAATAAAAAAAATGGACAGGAATTTTTAAACCTAGCAAGTGCCTCCGCTATTGCACTTTCGTACCCACTTTGCTTGTTGTCATTCAACAGTTTTTCTTGTTATTGTTTAATTATAATATTTAAATGAAAATATCAATCCCGATAAACATAATCAGTGTTTGTAAAAATGTAAAGAATTGTTGGAATTTAATTTGAAAACAATATTTTACAAGTTCACATTTTCGCTATTTTTTCTATTGTAAATGCTGAAACACACAACTGAATTAACTGTATGTTCTTCTGAATGCAACATTCTATTTAAACATAGAACTTTGAGCATTCTATTCAAGAAACATCCTTAATTACATTTTATCTTATTCAAGCTAAGAGATAAAGGGAAACTACTTTTTTCCCCTTAATATTTACACATTACAAAAATTGTTTTGTATTTGTTGATTTTATTTTATCGTTGAAACAAAAATCGGTTTTTCATTGTTTTTCCTTGATTCAATAATGTATAAATGTTAAAATGCTCTTCAACACGCAGCCACATTAATCTTTTCAACATAAGCAGCATTTACAGACCTTCGAATTCCCTCAACTGCAAGATTCCTATATTTACCAACAATTTTCCTACTCTCTACATTAAGAACTGTGAGTGTTTCTCTAAACCATAACAAAATTCTACTCGCTTAAAAACTTTTTAGGTACTCAGAGAAATATTTTGAGCAAGACTTTTTTTCTGTTATAAACATTTTCTCTTCTCTTAAAGGACATTTTCTCTTTTCCCTTTCTTTCACTCCTAATTGTCTTTATCCCTTTACCCTTTTTTTCTCTATGTAAATAAATACTTTCTTCTTTTATTGGTACACACCGAGCAGGAGTTTTTTCTTTATTCGTCCGCGCCTAAAAGAGAGAGAGTTTGTCCGCTCTAATCTTGCTGTTTTTTTTACTCGCGTTTTTAACCTCAACCCAATTTTTTAACCTCAACCCTTGGATGCGGGAAAGCCGGAACAGATTCCCCAGCAAAATACCTTCAAATTTATAAGGTAAACTTAAATTTACTGGTTAATTAATATCAAAGTCGAGGAAATCACCAGCTTCTTAAACTAAAATTGTTGAAGTGAAGTGTAGATATGTTCAAACATTATTCATTGCATTTAGTTGCCTCAAATAAGAGGAAATTAGACATAAGGCCAGTTTAATGCGGGGCCAACACGCGTCTGTTATTTATATGATTTAGCGGCAAACGCAAAAATAATCCATTGTATGAAGCACACAATCAGTTCAGACTGTTGTACCAGGGGCAACCAATTGCTGAATGATAGGAAGCAGCGGTGGAGGGGGGGGAGAGTAGCGAAAGTGTAATAGTGCCCACGTGCCGATAACATTATTGTTTTTAAGGCCATCCGCGCACCTAGTTGATTAATTTTAAATATTTATAATTTATTTTAAATAGTTTTAAAGCGAGATAACATCAAGTAAACAAATTAATAATAAAACGTAATTATTAATTCCTGATTCTCGTCGTGTCTATTATTCCTTTAAGCAATAGATATTCTTAAAAAAAAAGAAGACTTTCTTATCTTATCGGTTTTGTAGTCTTTTTTGACACTTAACAATGTGCTAATTAGAGTAACCTCCCTTGACTGTTTAGTGACCTTGACACTTGGTTAGAAACCGTGCTTTGTGCGGTGAGGGTCTGGATTCTCATCTTGGGGGGTGTTTTCACCGTGATACCTGTCAGTCTGAGTTACCTGACAGTTGTTTCGAGTTATACCGTGTATACACCAACCATGGCTTCTAGGGTTCTTCGATCTTGCTTGTTAAATTTAAAATATAAACATATAATTGGTCAACCAAGACACTGTTCGTCGGTGAGTAAAAACAACAGACATGATTTGTTTACATTATTACAACACTACAGTTTCTTTTATATTTTATTTTGAATTTGAGTGACCACAATTCCTTGTCTTTCTTTTTTGTAAACAATCTCATCCATACACTTCCTCTTAAAAAAAAGGTGTTTAACCAATTATTTAAAATTCTTTTAAACTTTAATTACCTACATAAAAGACGGCGACTATGAAAATTTATAGAGAGGCCCATACTGACTCTATCTTTAAAAAATAAATAATTATTACTTATATCAACTTTTGTTATTGTTTTTGATAGGTTTTTAACACCTACAGCTAATAAATAATAAAACAATAAGTTCCTTTTAGGCACCCCGAAAAAAAGTGAATGTTTTATTAAAATTTATAAATAAAAATGTATTTTTTAAAAAAAGTGAAATAATCTTTCTTGAAGCTTTAATCTTCTTTTAAATAAATTCAAATTTAAATGAATAAACTTAAAATTAAATTTAGAAAATTTCTGAGTAAGAAAATCCTTTCAAACCGAATTTAAATTGAATGTAATATTTTTTCCAATTTTCAGTCTGTAAAATAAGGCGAAATTTTTAAAATTCCTTTCTAGAAGAATTTTGTTACGCATTTAAAAATATCGTTTTTTTTAAATTATTTTTTATAGTAAAAATGCAAAAACTTAGCGAATTTTCAAAAAGAAGACATGCGTTTCGTTTTATCTTTTTGTATCCTTAGATAAAAAAGATGAAACCATTTCTGCACGTTTTACAGGTGAACAGTGGTTTGAAAAAGTTTTTCATCATATTTTAAGCATTTCATTGTATATGGTTTTAGATTTAAATGTTATTCATTTTTAATTTAAACCTTTTTTTTTTTTTTAATACAAAGATTATCACAATAATTGCAAAGTTTAAAATTCAGGATTACAATTTTAATTAAAAAAATCTTTAAAAAAAATGTAACATGTGCGCGCATGTCCATTTTCCTACAGTAGTTTACTTTTTTTTTCATGTTTTATTTATCATTTCAAAATCAGTAAACGTAAAACAACGCTTGTAAATATAATAAAATATGTCTTTAATTTTTTAGTTCTTAAAAATGTTTTTAGTAGTTTAAAAAAATTATAATTTATTTAAATTATAATTTAAGAGTTTAAGATTTTTACACGTAGTTATTTTTTGTAAATTATCTCGCCCAGACACTTCACTTCTAAAAAAAAAAGTGTTTATAACGAATTAAAATTTATTAATCTTAAAAAAAAATATATCATTAATTTTCTTTTAAAACGAACGAGTAGGCCATAGCAGTAGTAGCAGCAACTCGAACTATGCCAATAATTGTTTGAAAGTTAACAGTTAAAAGTAAAACTAACGGCTTATGGCTGGTAAGCTAAGCACCTCGGAAAAAAAGTGAAGGTTTAGAACGACCAGTATGGGGCATAAAAAAAAAAAAAAAGGAAATCGTAGTCCTCGGGTTTTATTATCAATGAAAGAGAAAAACTCTCAAACTTATGTTGCTTCTTGACGTATGATAAAAAAACGTCGTTTGTCTAAGTATTAATTTTCTTTCACCGAAAAAAATGAAAATACTGAGTTTTTTCATTTAATTGCGTAGTTTGTTTTGGGTTCATAACTCTATGAAGAAAAAAATGTTCTGGTGTCGTGTGCCACTTGTATAAAAAAAAAATGTGGATATTAAGTGTGTTTTAGTTTAAAAAAAACTTTTCATGTGGAAAATCTTCTGCTTGGCTTCATTTTAACTCGCCCTAAATTTGGGGCTCCTTAGATTTAAAAAAAAAAAAAAAATTAATGTTCTGTTATATTATTAAAAATATGTTTCTAATTCTTATTACCACAATTTCACTTTTTTAAGATAAAGTAAATAATATTTGTTTCAAATCAGGTTAATTATCACCATCATCATCACGGCTTTGCAAAACAGCGATCGATAGGGAGTCTGTTCACATCAATTGCAGGCATGTTTGTGACTGATAAGTCCAATGTGGGACAGGCATAATTGGTCGCAGTAGTTGTAGCTGAAAGACTTGCTTGGACTCGATGGCATAGTGTTGCAGTACTTCCTCCTCTACCTCTTGTCCCTGACAGCAGCCCTATGGGTATTTTCAAAAGAGGGGACAGCATGGTTGGTGCTGAGACACCAGGCATCACGGTTCTCATTAAGGGCTGACCATTGGCAATAGTTGATGTGACAGGCACCAAAGGATTTTGTCAGGCAATCTTTGAATTGCTTCTTTGGTGCCTCTCTGCCGTGATAGCCAGTGGAGAGATCATCATACAGTAAAATTTTAGGCAGACGATGATTCTCCATCCTGGAAACGTGTCCAGTGTAGCTGGGACTTCAGTAGCATGGCCTCGATGCTGGTGATCTTCACCTTTACAAGGACTTCAATATTAGTGACAGTCACTCCAGTGGATGTTAAGGATTGTGCAAAGACAGTACTGGTGGAACTGTTTGAGGAGTCATAGGTGGTGTTGGTAAGTGATCCATGACTCTGAGCCCTATAGGAGAGTGGCAAGGACAATAGCTCTATACACTCTGATCTTAGTGTTCTTTTTCAAGTGCCTGTTGCACCACACGTGTTTGTATAATCTGCTAAATGCAATCCTTGCCCTTGACAGTCTATTGTTGACCTCCTTGTCAAGCCCAGATTAATTATTCTGTTATTTTAAATCGGCTAATATTCCTCAAATAAAATTTCAAAAAAGTATAGTTCATTTTTGAAACTCTCCTACAAATTTCAGCAGAATCTCTGACAACCACCTTCCGGATATGAGGAATTGATTACAAAGTCCGGATATGAGAGGTTATATTTAGATTAAAATAAAAGAACTGAGGTCAAGTTTAACATTTATTTTCAGTGTTTTATAGTAAACAAAATAAGCTAATGGTGAGTGAAATATAACAGAATGGATTTTAAGGAAAAAGAAATAAGTTATGTAATGTTAATGAAAATTCATTAAGTATGCCATGTATACAAAACAATGTAACAAGGATTTTTTAATCACTGTTGCATGATGATTTTTTCTCTTCTAATGTAATTCTCAACTTTTTTTGCATTTCGTTTTGCTTTTGTTCTTGAAATTTTTTAAACAAGAGATACTTTTTAACTCTGTGTGTGTTATTGTAATCGTCATAGCTGAATGCTGGCTTTCTTTCCATAAAACTGACAGCCTTTTCAATTTCAGTCCCAGTTTCATCACAATTATGCATCTCATCACTATTTTGTTGCAGATTTGTCTCATTGTCATCCTTTCCTCTTATTCCCATCACCCTTTGCACCAATACAAGCCATTAGGGTGAAATAAGCATAAGCAATTATCCAAATTAAATTTCCTGAAAAACAGAAATTTCAAATCAGTTACATATCACCCAAATAGTTCAAATATACATATCGAAATCATGTCTGGATATGAGGGAGTCTAGGTATGAGGGAGTCCAAATGTGCGGGATTCTACTGTAATAAAAACATATGTATATTTTATTTTTTAATTATTAAAGTGTGTATTATGTCAATTTGTATATGTAACTCTATCGACCATATGGTTTCCAAAGTTAAGCAATGTTAAAAAAAAAAAACTGATGCAATATTTATCATTTACCAAATTTATAAAGAAATAAATATGAAAGCATTTTGTTATTCATAAATTTATAAACATTTACTAAATTATTAAAATATGTAAACCAACTATTAGGAAATCCTTCTTATTTAACATTTTATAAAGATTAAATCAATTGGTAGTTACTGCATTTTATGGGTGTGCCTCCAAAAATCTAAATAACAAGAGCCTAGTACATTATTTACATTATTCGGACTATTGTCCTCATCTTTGTCGCCTAGTAGTTGATCCATCCTCTGACATAACTCTAACAGCTCAAGGGGGTGACTAAAATGGCTTTTAAGTTTCCATACCTGAAAAATGAAGTTAGCAATGTTCCCTTATCACCTCACAAATCCAGAATTTTCTCCAGTCATGCTTATAGGTGTAGTGATATCAGTGTCGGTCGATATCTCATTGAATAGGGAAAATCTGTGCTGTTGCAAAAATCTTTTCAGACATTTATTGTCCTGACGATTACCAGTGAAGTGGACCTCATAAAAACTATGGCAAATGACTCTGGCAAAGAAGGTCACTGAATGAAGCCAAACCTTGATAAATTACTTTTTTAGATGACAAATCAAAAAACAATGTTCTCTATAAGTCACTACCACTGGAAAACAGAGCCCCCAGGCAAAAACTCGGAGATTGACGAGAAACCGCCTCACAGTGATGCGAAAGGGAAGACATGCCCATTAGACTGTTCACCTTCCCCTCACCTTGCTTCAGCTGTACATCGCTCATTTACAACAGAATGTTACAACTGAATAAAATTTGCTTATTGCTAAAATGAACTTTTGGTCTTATTTAACAATTCTGGAAGAAGCTGCACCCTGAGAGCAAACTTGGTTTCTATTCTAAGTTGCAACACTAAAATAGTTGTATTCCCAATGATGCTCCTTCTCTTCAATGCTTAATGTGACTTCAGTTTACTGCAGAGCTTGAGTGGTACTCATTTATATGATCCATCACACAAGGTTTTCCATTCCTTGGACCATTCAAAAAAGTACCTGGTTCCTCTTGTTTTGGGGATTTTTTTTTAAAGCTGGAGATAGTTTCTATATCTAAAGATATATTTCCAAAGGGAAAATGGCAACATGGGCTTATAAACTGCACCATATGTGTCTTGACTCCAGGCAGCTGACTGACAGATTGACAACTTTCATCACTATGAAATGATGCCACTAAGCAGCAATCATGTAACCCATGTCTTCATCCCAACCAAAAGGGGATAATTGCCTTTTGTCTCCCTATAATGCATTTATGCAGCCTTGTGAGTGATGGATTATTTTCAGCTCTACAAGCTGTTTCCTACAAATGAATCAGTTTTTATTGCCTTGTCTTGGAGTCAAAAAAAATCCCCAAAACAAAAATCAGACAGGCGCAGGAATT